AGGGCCACGGAAGGTCAGTAAAATATGATTAAAGTCGTAGCCAGTGTCAGTGCCTCTCTTTTGGATCGAATGATCCAATGCCGAAATCCCAGATCATCGGTCTCAATAGCAGAAAGCAGCTTCAGAACTGCAACTTGTTGTGGCAAAGTGTCATCGAAGCCAACCTGCCTCGGCATTTTCGCGGCCGGGCTCAAACGAAGCAAAGGCGTCAAGAGCTGTCCACGACGAATGCACTCTGCCATCCAAGCAGGGCCGGCTATGTAGCCTCCGACCAACCGGCTGACACATGCCCCGAGATCGAGCCCCTGATGACTTTCACTGCCATGATAAATCAAACCTGCCTCTGCCTCCTTGGAGGTTGCAAGAAAAATCACAAACTTTGCCCGCAAACACCTCGCCACTAGACTGCTGCTTGTCAAATGACAAACACGCAGCCCACAAAGCTGAGACAACGCCTTTGCCTTGTCTTTGACGATCTTGTCTGCGTTGGGAATCTCATTTTTGCTGATAATGCAAACGGCCAGCCCATTCTGCGCATCACCCAGAATCTCAGCCGTTTTCAGCTCCCGCAGCTGCATGCCGTCCAATTTCTTGAACTCCTCTTCATCCTCACGCTGAAGCTTCTGTAAGCGCTCACGGGCATCCTTAGCAAAAGCGGCCGGCGAAACCAAGGCCAATTTGGCTGTCACCCGCTCCGCCAAAGCAACCACCATCTTCTTCTGCCGCTTAGTGGAGTGTTCCTCAGCAGACGTGTCGAGGGCACGCTTCAAGGATCTCGCTTCTTCCAGCGGCAACTCCTTGGGCACGGCTTCTGCCTTCTGTTGGACTTGCAGGCGTTTCAAAGCTGCAAGTCCCGTCGAAGAACATCGACGGTTCATAGTCCTACGGGGCAGCAAGGAGGCTGGCGCATTTCTGGCTGCACCGAACAAGGAGCGGTACCTGTTGTAAGCACGAATCCCAAAATCACTGAGCTTATACTCCTTGCTCAAGATATTGAATGTGACGACAGGGTCACAATCAACCATGACCTTCAGAAGGCAACGAAGGGTGTCCGGGGACGTGTTGCGCTTCTGGTCACGATGCATTGCTCTGAATGATGATAAGTTCTGCTCCAGCAGACCCGTCCCTTCGAACATGCAGAGCATCACAACGACCTCGGGAGACAGATCAATATAGAATCATTGGCCAAACAACCTATGCCGACGCATCTCGCAATCTCTATAACCGAGGTCAGAACAGCCTCGCGAAGCACTGGCAGTCGTTTTCCCCAGTGTTTCAAGGCTTCCGCCCAGTACTCCATAGGAGATGAAATGCCCGACCTTGCTAGCATGCCCATAAGCAAACAGTTGGATAGCTCTTGATCCTCTGTATTGAAATTTCCGTGATGACGAGTTTATGCATCGCCGGCTTCCTCCTGCTTGCTGCAAAACCAATTCTCTTACAGATAGGATGGTGATGGAAGTCAAATGCGTCAGATTTTTAGACGATCTTATCCAGATGTTGAATATTCACTAAAGTGTCTGACATAAGCTTTGGATGGTGCTCAGGCAGGAGCTGTATGAGCTGCTCGCACGTCGGTCGCACAGCATTGATCTCTTTCGCGAGCTCGCTGCCCTCGACAGAGCGTTATTGCGTTGACTCACCCGCTGAAGCGTTAAATGCAATGCACTCAGGTCGCTGCAGAAGATCCGAGTAGTTTCGCGAGGGGCTCAAGCAGAGCTGGCCTCCGCAGGGCAGACAAATGAAAGTGAAAGAGTCTTCTCTCTGGTCGCAAGCATATTGAACAAGAAATCCCTGATGCCTGGCTGCCGCGCCCTTCTCTATATCCAGTGCACCAAAGCATTCGCCGATCCCAGCTTGGTGCTCCGCGGCGATGGAGCGAAGAAAGACGTCGGTCAAATTGCGAATGCAGCCCAGCTGTTTGACCACTGCTTCTTTGAACTCGCGCGCAGAAAGTCCTGCCCAAAAGGTTTTAAATTCATGCTAGGCAATACTGGGCACAACACCGATCATTTGCACCTGGGCGATGGAAGAGCAGCTCCCCGTCACCGAGGATGGCACAGCTGCCTGTTGGGTCACCTGCCGACGAGGTAGCCCAGCTGCCGTTATACTCGCACAAAACCCGAATCGTACTGTAGCAAGGATAGGTAGACAAGGCACGCTTCACCAGAGCTTTGCGTAGCAGGGCCACGAAGCCAGAATTGTACCGCTCCAAGTCCAACACCAGGGGTGGTATGGAGCTGTTCGGGCCACTGAATTCAAAGAGCTTTGTAAGCTCCTGCGTCGCACAGCATAGGAATGATTCAACAGAAACAGTACAATGAACCCGTCCTGCTGGAGCAATCGCACGCCACGCGACATGAAAGCGATCTGAGACACCTCATTCCGGGCGGCTTTTGCATGCCCTCCCCGGTCTCTGCCGCTGTTGTCCCATGAGTGGATGAAAGCACTGGTAGTCGACGACCATTCTGAAAGCAAGGCGCAGAGAATGAGGTTCTCGGTCGTCAAGGTCTAGGCCAAGGACTTGTGTGAATTGAAGAAATAAATAAATAAATAAAT